TTCGTGTGTCATATCTATTGTATAAAATTCAGTAAACATTCAAAATACCACATGGCTAGGGAAACGAATGCTCGAACAATGTACGTATGATAACACCAAATATTTATGATTCAATAAAACTCTTTATCATTTCCAGTTTATCCTCTATCTTCATGTCAATATCATTCAAAAGCCTTTACATTAAAATCTTTTTCATTCAAAGTCATCTACTGATTTCTTGCATTTGAAAGTCTTTCCTTCTATTCCGAGTACTTTACATTTCAGAAATTCTTATACCTTTTATGCTTTTATCTTCATGCTTTTATCATTCGACTACCTTTTCATCCAAAGTCATTTTAATGATTTCTTGCATTTAAACGCTTTCTTTCTATTTCGAATCTTTTACATTCCAGAAACTCTTTTACATTACATGCTTTTATACTTTGAAGTTATTTACTTGTCTTTTTGCAGTTTTACATGTCTTTACAATTGAACCTTTATTCATGCAATTTAGTTTCGCACGTATTTCCTTGATCATGTCATTAGATCTTTAATATGGTAATCGAAGTAAGTTGAACACCTACACAACATTCTAAATACCAACCATGAATATCAGTTCTACAATGAGAATTATCCAAACGACCAATACACCATAGGATCAATCTAGTCGATCCTGCAAGTTACCAGAGAGATTAAATAACAGTCATTAAGATTATTTGATAGTTTGGAGGACTAGCGGTTGTTTACCAGAAATAACTGTAAACAAAGGGCCCAAGTTTAGATATTGAACTGGGCCCAATAACACAAGGGGTATGATTTTTTGTTGGTGAAGTAATTTGAGGGTGCGTTCAGTAATAGGTTAGGCCCAAAACAAGTTATCAGGTCCGTTGGATAGAGTGTGGACGCGCACATGTACTAATGGTGGGTGCGCGGTTATGAAATGTCTGATGATGATCAAAGTGTTTGGGAGCGAGGGTGCATGATATGAGTAGTACATGGGAACAACGAGTGTTATATAAACAAATTCTTGGGATGAAGGCCCATTTTTCTTTTCTTTCCCTCTCTCTACACCAAAACAACAAATGTCTCCCTAGATCTCTAGTTAAAGTTTAATCGGGATCTTCATGTGTTCATCTGCTCCGTCGTGAGGTAACCTATAAACCACCGTCAACCACCCTGAAACCCTTAGAACCCTAAGAATACAAACCATAACCCCAACAATATAAGAATCCTAAACCCAAAAATGATGAACCCTAACCCATATTAGCATGAACCCTAAGAATCCTAACCCCAAAACCTAAGAACCCTAACCTAGAACAAATCCCAGGAAACCCTTATTCCAATCGAAATCTAGAAAACAACAATTAATCAACAACCATCATTTTTAACAAGCTAAGTGTTAGGCTTACCGTCCGATGTAGTGAATCTTATTGTATCAATTCCTTTCAATTTTTCCCTCCCTCTGTCTAATCCTCTTCTTCTTCTCTAATTGCAGGTGTGTATGACAATGACGCGACGGTGATTTGAAGACGACTGTGATGCAACGCATATCTATGGTTTCAGAAATTGAAACTCATATCTCAAGAAGAAGGTTGATCAATCACTTCTACTTCTTCTCTCTTTCTATTATATTCTCTTCTCCTCCAAAAAAAAATTCCGCTAAGATTTGTTGTCCCTTTTCAATTTTAGGATTAGGGTTTATATAATTTTAGGAATTAGACAGATTATGAAGTTTTATTTGATTGTTGTTACTTTTTAGATTATATGTAAATTAAGGTTGCAATTAGAAATAAAGGATTTGATTTATTGTACATTAGAGATTTGTTTGAGGTTCTGTTTCGAATTTGTTTGTAACTTGGTTGTAATAAGATTCAATTTAATTTAATTTTGTGTAAATTTGATTTGTTGTGAGATTTTCTCGAGTTTCTAAAGATTCGATTTGGTCTTTGATCGAATATGCGTTTCTTTTAGTTTCTAGGCTTGTAAACAATTGCTTAAAGAACAGGAGTTAATCAGGGCATAGCTGGACAAAGAGTTTAAAACCCTAATGTTTACTTTAGTCAACCCTAAATAAAACAAATGTATAATAATAAAGAAGTTAAAATAATAATTATTGAAAATAAATACAACAAAGCTATATAATGCACGTGGGCCTCTGCCCCAAAAATGAAAATAGGCCTTTCAAAAAAGATGACCCGATCTGGGCCTCTAATCTTAATAAAGTCTCTAGCCTAACTAAAAAAACACCCCCTCTTGTTTATTCAAAACGAGCCTCATAAAATAACTTAATGGGCCAAATGAACCTTTAAAAAAACACACACCTTCTTGTTATCTCAACCAGATCTTAACGGGCCATCAGATTTTGATGGTGCATTAAAGAAATACACCCCCTTTTGTTTTATTAAATAAGCCCCAAAACTTAAATGGGCCTATAAGCCCTGAACGATACACCTCTCCTTTATAATTTAAACCCTTCTTAGAATAAACTTAGTAGTAATAATGCCCAAAATTCTAAATGGCTAGTAAAAGATGAAATGATTATTTAGAGGGGAAAATTTGGGGTATGACAACATGGTTACAACCTTTGCCTTAGTGTACAACGACTTATATAGAAAGCATGAACCACATCGAACTCACTCGATCGATGGTTCATGGTTCTACGTAATTAGTAGGATCGAGTTTCTACTCCAATCTAAGGTTTTTAGGTTTGTGAACTAAAGAGTACTAGTACGAGTTCTTTGAGTAAGGAACTGTTAGCTTATACTTATGTCAATGAGTGAGAACAATAGTAGTAGATTGAGTTAAGAGTTTGATCTTCCCCCCAGTATATAGAGGGGTAAGGGTCCTTTCTTTTGTTGTTGCACTGAACTAAGTCAAAGTCCTCTTATCAGAGAGGATGAGTTGCATAAACCTAAAGGATTAGTTCCTCGAGTCTAGTTAACTCGACAACTTAACACGAATAACGCGCGAGCTTTCTTCGACTATAGCGCGAGTAAAGTCTAGCTCGACAAGAGGAACTGCTTAACTTGACAATAGCTCGGCTAGGTCGCTTCTTGTATTAATTGTTTCTTTTTTTTTTTGTTACTTGTACTTGATAGAGTACAGGTAGTAGTAGTGGGGTTAAAGGGGTCGCCATCTCCCAAGTGAAGGGTCGCTTCACAGGCTTCACGAGCGAAGAATAGATATGACTTACAAAAAGGTGCCCATAAGTTTGCTCTCATGTCTCTGCCTGTAGGTAGTAGGTCCCTGCTCTTTCCGATAAGTGGATAAGTTGAGGGGCTTGCTTCCCAAAAGAAACTTCCCTTGCCTCCTCTTAGCCTTGACACTCTAGTTGTGGTAGCTCTTGTTTACTCTTTGTTTCTCTTGTTAGGAGTTTAGAGTACATCTAGAACGAGTGGAACAAAGTGCTTCTCTTAAAAAGCCTGAGTCCACGACCTAAAGAGGAGCCGAATGGAGATGACTAATAGATTAACTTGCTTTTTACCTTTCGTATTCGACGGAAGTAAAACTTGATATCAACGATCTTCGTTTGCTTCGAAAAGATGTTGTTGGGCAGTAAACATTTGTAAGAATATCATCCATATGTGGGGGAAGATCACAAAAGACAAAGATTATAAAGAGGGACTCATGACGACTAATTCACGAGAGCCCATATTTATGCTTTCATTCACTCGTTCCTCGTGGTCAGGAGAGGGAAGATCTTAAGGCTTTCTAGTTTTTGAATCCACTTAAGACTTTGATTGTGCCCATTGATTGTATGCCGAGGGAGAGAGCGATAAAGAGAGGGGTGATAACCTGACCCGAGACATCGATCTGTATCTCCCTTACCTATATCTTCTCGGATAGAGGGACCGAGAAGACTTCTACAGGCTTTCTTTTGCCCTTCTTTACCGCTTGGAACTAGATGTAATCGAACTTACACTTTATAAAGGCAACCCAAAGAATAGACTGGGAGGCCCCCTATTCGCGCGCCTATGAACCAATGTAACCCAACCAGTAACTAGTGCCCCAATTGATCTCTTCTATGTAACTCCAACTAAAAAGGAGGACGAAATATAAATTTTAGATTATGGGTTTGATTGATCATACTTGATGACTGATTGATGGATACCTTTGTTATATAATTTCGATGAACCCCATGAATGTCATCTATAAGGGCTACCTGAAGCTATTCTTCGATCGGTACCTATACCCACTATTCATGAAAATAGTCGATATTAAAGTTACTATAGATAAAAATGCTTCCATCTCAACCCTTATTTTTTTCTTTCTTAATAAAGCGCGTAGAAACCCTCTAACATAGGGCTCCTCCACTCTTATTTGATTTAGTATTGGGACAAGCCAAAACCTTCAATTATTAATAAGATAGGTTACTTTCTTGTCTTGAGGAGTGAATTGCGAAGTCTAAAACTATTTTAAACCCATCCATTAAATCCAAATAGTGAAATTTGATCGGGTGACGTGACGTGCATGAATTTGAGATATAAAGGCACAGCGAGTCTCGTTTAGTCATTCCATTGTACCACTCCCGCAACGCATCGTCTCTCGCTAAGCAAAACTTGAAACCCTAACTTTCCAATCCCAATCGATAGGTTTACATCCTTTTCCTCTTCTCTTTTCGATTCCTTCATTGCGTAATGCTTACTTTGTTTGAACGGAGCTGTGATTTTTTTTTTTTTTTTTGTATTTATTTTATTTTTAAGGGCTTTTTCTCCCTTTTCACAACCGCGCAGATTTTTTTCAATTTATTGTTTTTGGATCATGCTTTTACTGATGATTTGTATTTTAGGTTATGATTTTATATGCTGTTTTATTCTCCATACACTGATAACCTGATTATGCGTCCTTATTATCTGTCTTGTATTTAGCTTAAACAAACATTATATTCTGGGTTTGTATTTTTGCTATAGGTTGTGTTACTTTCAAATGCATTTATGATTGATTTACAATGTTTTTTAGTCCAATTTTCGTACTTGAGAAACCTATAATTTGTCTTAAATTAGGCATTAGGTTTAGTTGCAATGGCTTCAAAGCGCATTACTAAGGAGTTGAAGGACCTGCAGAAAGACCCTCCCGTCTCCTGCAGTGCTGGTATGTTCTCTCTCATCCATTCCTGTTGTTTCAATATTTCAGATCGTAGTCTCTAGCATTAGTTTCTTGTCTGTACAAATATTTGTTCAATGCCCGGTGAAAACATCTGTTCATGCAGCAGCTTTAATGCTTTTTGTTAAATGACATTTGGGAAGGGAAGGTAGGAGTTAAAAGTTTTCAAACTTAGGAATCTACTAGGAAACAGAAGGTTGGGGAAGAGATGTAAAACAATAGATTCTAACATAGATCTTTTGTTCTAACCAACATCAATTTTATCAAGCAACCACAACCACTAGCTTCAAATCAGTTCAATGAATAAGTAAACACGATATATAATTAGGAATCATTATTGCTAAAATGGGGTCAGCATGTATTAAGGGATGTCGAGAGATGGGAGAGTCTTGTCTCAACTGTATTGGGCTTGTGTGGAGAAGGTTTATAGAAATCTTGATAAGGATCTAGATTTGATTGGCAGTAGGTTTATAGAAACCAATGAGTAAGAGGAGAAAATTGGACCATACGATACAATTGTATATCATTTGTCGAATTAAAAATGATCTAATTGGCCACATAATCATATAAAAGGCACATGCTTTATGTTTTATCTTGACCATTTGTGGTAAAATGTAATTGTCAAATTTACTTCTCCCACATGTAAAAGTAAACCTCTGGCATTATGTGTGTATCAGGTGAGCGCATTATGTGTCAAATTTAATTCTATTCAATATAGTGTAAAATGACATATAATGCTGTAGTATAAACTGTTGCGTGCTTCTTTGAGTTCCAAGTTCAACTACAGTTTCTTTTCTATGTATAGGAATCTTATCATGATTGTTATATATCAAACTCATGCAGGCCCTGTTGGTGAAGATTTGTTTCATTGGCAAGCTACAATCATGGGACCAGCAGACAGTCCTTATGCTGGTGGTGTATTCCTAGTGACCATTCACTTCCCACCAGATTATCCATTTAAGCCGCCAAAGGTAACTAACTAGTTTGCAATCTATGTTAGTATATAATCATCTAAGAGTCATGGTTTAAAATTTTGGTCCATGTTACGGATGCATTACGAAGGTCAAATAAGGCTGATGTGGCTTTAATTGCGACTGATGTACTTGGGCTGATATATTTAATCTCTTATCTAAATTGCTTGTTTTGTTACTGTTTTGCCAACTATTATTTTATAGGCGGGCATGTCATGTCCTTGCATTTAGCCATTTAAATATTGAGACACGGTCTTTAGTGATTGTTTTTGTTATGAAACAAATATCAAAGCAGAACCTTCAGGGTCTCTATCATTGACATTGCCTCATTGACACACCAGATTCTTGAATATTTGTTTGGCAACAGAAACATTCACTAAAGATATATCAATGACATGGTCAAACATGTATCTTTAGTGACAGTCCTTGTTGTACTGGTTTGCTTTTGACCGTTGTATTTGTTATATACATTTCAATGCAGCATGGACACAATATGGGTATTGGATACAATACATATCTGATATGCCGATATGCCAATCATTGGAAAATCTAGGATACGACACATATATAAAAAAATTGAAATTAATCATTAGTTAAATCCTTTCTAACAAAAACCAAATGAATTTGCAAAATTTGATTGTAAATTGATAAAGGAGTATCATAATGTAAAGAAATTTTTTATTTTTTATTTTTTAAATAGAAAAATTCAGATACTCCTTCGATAGGGTACCACATATTTTAGAGTATCCATGCTTCTTGTCTATAGTATGCTTTTGACCTTTATTGTTCTTCTGATTTCTTGAGGAATGAAGTCCAACTTATGCTTGTTTCTTTGATTATGTTGAAAATAATATTTGTGGTTTAAGTTGGTTAAATTATTCACAATGTGGCTTTTGTAGGTTTCCTTCCGAACAAAAGTGTTTCACCCTAACATAAACAGCAATGGAAGTATCTGTCTTGACATTCTGAAAGAACAGTGGAGCCCGGCTCTTACTGTTTCCAAGGTATGAGACTATGACCCAATTGGGATTAACTTCTGATTGATGTTAGCTTTTAAATATGTTTATGGCTTTTTACTTCACGAAAAGAGTGATAAGGTTTATGGAGAAGTTAAGTGGTAGAGATTTTGAGAAAGCCAAATTCAGTTCATAAGCAAAGCTACGGCTTGATAATCTCTGGTTATTGTAATTTTTTTCTTAAGATTTCTTTATCTATACTTGGTTTATTATATTTCTATCTAAAGTTTTTTCTAGTTAGTTGTTGTTAGAGTGAAAGAGAGAGACAGAGAAAAAAAAGAGTGGTAAATTCTCAAACTGAATTCTCTTATTATGATTAAGAGACTTACAGCACAGTAGAGTTTATATTCATCTAATCCCGGGCCAATCCTTTCTTATCATACACCACACTCAATTGGTAGCTGTGTAGGGACATCAGGTGCAGGGACGAGGGTTCGAATCCGCGACCTCCCACTTTGTTTACCTGTAAAAAGGTGAATTCCAGCCACTAGGCTACTTGACAAAAAAAAAACTAACTAGTTAGGGTGACATGGCGATACTCTAATACTCTCAGATCAGAGAGAAACTTGGTGAATGGCTGAAATTCACCACCCCAGTCTGTTTAAACAGCTTTAATGCGATCGCTTTGAATTGTCGAAATTCACCATACTGACTTAGTTTTAAGCAAATAAAGCAAATAAATCCAAGTAAGCCCTGTGTAGGCATCAACAGAGGTAATATAATAATGAAAATTTTGTGAAGATTTGACTGGGGTGGACCCCAAAGATCACAATTAATTCAAAGAGGTGAGGTATATTGAGTTTGTGATTGAGGTGAATGCAGTCTATGAGCGTGTTGCCCATACAGCAGGCTGAACAAAACATGGAATTCTGTTATTATGATTAAAACAGTTACGGCTTAGTAGAATATATATTCATCTAATCCTGTGCCAATCCTTTCTTATCCTTCACGACACTCTAACTAACTACAGGGTGACATGGAAATACTCTAATAGTTGTTTGCATTTTGCTTATGATTTGTGGTAATATTTCCTTGCCCAACTTGCTCAATTTCTTTATGAAATATAAAAGGGAATAAGTGAGGAGAGCAGGAAGGTTTTAATTAACTTCATTGATTATTGCAGTAAAGAGTTATGGATTTAATAATTATGTTATATTGTTGCAGGTACTTCTGTCCATTTGCTCCCTGCTGACAGACCCAAACCCAGATGATCCTTTGGTGCCTGATATTGCCCACATGTACAAGACTGACAAAGCCAAGTACGAAAGTACTGCCCGGTCTTGGACCCAGAAATATGCAATGAACTAGCACAAATATAGTGAACTCTTTCTGTGGGGGAAAATGTTGTTTGGGGATGCCTGCTGGGTATATACATTACATATACAGTGCATCTGCTCTGTTTCTATAATAATAATCCAAACTCCAGAAATTTTAAGGCTTGAAGATAATATTTAATATTGTTTTTTTTTTAAATTTTAAATATTTTTATTATAATGAGTAATTTCTTAACTAGTTAAAGTCTCAACAGATCCGCAGGAGACGAATAGGTGGTGTAATATGTTTTGGGTTGGCGGCATGAACAAACACATTACGCATCCGATCATAAATAACCACCTAAATAGTAGTAGATTGTATAGTAACATTTTAGTGTTTGTGTTAGTGTAATTTGAAATAAATTTAATTTGAAAAACTGTTTTAGTTTTAACTAAGTTTGTGACTAATGGTCTATTTTAGAGTTTAGAGTAAGTTTGTGACTCATGGTCTATTTGAGAGTTTAGAGAAAGTTTGTGACTAATGGGTCTATTAGAGAGTTTGGAGGGTGGGGAGTAGAGAGTTTGGAGAAGAAGAAAAGTATTCAGTGGAAAGAATTGAACAATTTCTTATCCCACTTTTGCTATATGGGCTGTATCTCTAAAAATTCGAAAATGCTCTTGGGTGGATTTAGAGATATATCTTTGTTCTGGGTCGGGCTGGCACTTGGCCCATAGATGAGCAGACTCAATCCAGTGTCTCTATCTATGGTGTGTCTCTGTCTATGGTTCAATAGCTTAAGGTCCAAGTCAGATAGTTGTTGTGGATTTCTCTCACGTGCCCATTAAGGAACGTGGTCAACAGTCACATCAACCGCCAATTGCCCTCTCAGAATAACGGGTTCATTGCCCCAATATTCTTGGGGCGCTTTACTAGGGAGGAGCCATGTGTTGGACTCTATTACCCACGTAACCCTGACAGTCCTTGTTATTGGACCCAAATCACTTGGCTCAATACATGGATTTTGGCCCAACACTGGAGGCTACAAATACCCTCTCACATGAGAGGGTCAGGTATTCATTCATTCAACCTCACTTCTATTACTTGTACTTTGATTGTCTAGACTTTTACTTTGGCATAAGAGTACTTTGCAGGTACCCTTCCCATTCACTTCGTCAACCGTCTCATTCAAGCTCGTGGACCATCGACGATTCCTTCTGGCCATCGAAGAAGAGGAAGACGACCCCACGGTCCACTTTGTCAGGCTATTATGGATGCTCCTATCCCCAAGGGAATAGAGAAACCCCCACATCAATAGCTACGAGGATTCTACAGATCCCGATGATCACGTCGATGCATTCGAAGCAATGCTCCAGTTCCACAACGTCGGGGGCGTGATCAAATGTAAGTTGTTCCCCACGACCTTGAGGAAAACTGCGATGGATTCGTACAAGGCTCTCGCCCATGAGTCCATCACCTCCTGACGGAATCTAAAGAACCAGTTCGCCAGTAGCTTTACAGCTTCTCGGAGACACCCCAAGATTGAGGCGTCCCTCGACGCAATCATCTAGGGAAGCGATGAGTCTCTCTGAGCCTACATTGACCAGTTCAATCGAGAGGCCATTCAGGTCCCCACCACCAACCGCATGAAGAGGTATCTGCTCGAGAAAGCCTTCTATCGGGCAGTGATTTCCAGATAGCGGTCAACATCGAGCCCCCAAGGTCTTTTGACCATCTCCTCCATAAAGCCCGGGCGTGCATCACGTACGAGGAGAAGGAGGCCGCTAATAATGTTAGCGATTCCAGGAACCGCAAAGCATTCAGTGCACCCAGGCACAACGACACATGATCATCCCGACAACCTGGGGACCGAAGGAGGGATGAAAAGCCTCGCGACCCTCGCGAGCACAAAGGTCCAATCGGGCGCTTCACTGAGTACACTGCTCTGCTCTCTGCGAGCGCATCCTCGCAGAATGTTCCAACACTGAGTTCAGGGACGGGGGAGTCCGTCGACCTAAACCCACGCCCGCCAAACCTGGGGTCGACAAAACTAAATACTGTCAATACCATTGGAGTCACGGCCACGTCATTGAAGATTGCAACCACCTCAAGGATGCCATCGAGACTCTCATCAAGGCAAAGAGGCTGGGGCAATACAAGAAAAACACCCCTCACCGTGACAACCTCCAACGAAGTCGGGCCTCACCAAGTTGCCCTGTCTGTTTTCCGACCCGAGGATTTTTACATCCCCGACAACGTCGAAGATGATGAGTTGTTGTTTACCCATAGCATATGGGAGACGTTCCCTGTTGCCCTGGTCATCTCCGATAGAGGATTTGACACTCTCTTCGTGAACTCGGGGAAGAGAAAATTTGAAGAGCTGATAGATGCGACACCGGTCCAAACCGAACCTCGATAGGTTTCAGGGACAACCTGAGCCCATCATGTTCTACCTCGAAAAGCTGCCCAGGGAGCTCCAACTCACATATCCCTTTGCTCATAAGGGCGAAGATGGCCAACTTTGTCATGCATCGCATCCTGGACGACGAAGGGAGTTCCGTCAACGTCATGTACACTCAACTATTCAAGACCCTGCAACTCGAAGAATCTCATCTATCACCGTACGTGGGGTCTGACATGCATGGCTTTAATGGCTCGACTTCTAAACCGTGGGGCTATGTCGAGCTTCTGGTCACGTTCGGGATGGAAACAACAGCTGCCCGACAAGTCAAAGCCTGCTTCCTAGTGGTTGATTGCCCGTCTCTTTATAACTGCATTTTGGGAAGACCAATGCTGGCCGAGCTAATTGCTGTACCCTCCACGGTCCACCTCAAGATGAAGTTTTACACAAAGAGAGGACGCGTGGCCACCATTCACGAGGACATCCAAGATGCGAGGAGATGTTTTAATGCGGCCTCAAAGGGGAAGAACATGGTCGACATCAAGCTGAAGACGACCACTTGAACCACCCCTCCTCGTCTAAGCCTGCTCGGATTGAAGAATAGGAAGCTTCGCACAACGTCAACTCCATCGACCTGAACACACACTTCAACAAAGACGAGGTTGAGGTCCCCAACTCCGAACAGGATCCCCTTCGTCCCATCCACGACATAGACTTTGAAGTCATCCTCCTCGGCAAGGACCCGAACAAATGCGTGAAAATTGGAGATGGACTCCCCGACCTGGCGAGGAAGCAGCTCAAAGCATGTCTGAGGGAGAACCCTGACTTATTCAAGTGGAGAGTTACGGAGATTCCCAGACTCAACTCAACCTGTCATCAACTTGCTGTAGATCCAGCCGCTAGGACAATAGTACAACGTAGGCGTAGGCAGTCTCCCGAAAAAGCGAAGGCTGCTGAAAAAGTTGTGAAAGACCTCCTAGAGGCAACTTTTATTTCTGAGGCCCGCTATTCAACCTGGCTCTCCAAACGTTGTACCTGTTAAGAAAAATAATGGAAAATAGCGTATGTGTGTTGGCTACACTGATCTAAACTGGACATGTCCCAAGGATGCATATCCTTTACCTAATATTGACAGGCTGATCCGCAACTCGGCATGCTACAAACTTTTATCATTTATGGACGCGTATTCAGGATATAATCAAATTCCCATGGCAATGAGCGATAAACACTGCACGACCTTCATGATCGAGTCGGGAAACTACTACTGCAACGTAATGCTCTTCGGTCTGAAGAATGCAGACGCGACATACCTGCGAATGATGAACAGAGTATTTTCAGGCGAAATCGGGGACACACTTGGGGTATATGTGGACGACATGATCGTCAAATCTTGAGTAGAAACTGACCATACATCCCATTTGAAAAGAGTCTTCGACCGGGCAAGGAGATGCAAATTAGATTCAACCCAAAGAAATGCACATTCAGGTTAAGGCGGGCAAGTTCCTCGGGTTCTATTTGACAGAACGAGGAATCAAAGCCAACCCCGACAAATGTAGGGCCTTCTCCGAGCTCCCCACTACGATCTCGAAAAACTCCATACAAATTTTGAACAATATGCTTACCTCGCTCTCGCGTTTCGTGGCGAAATCTGCACAACATACACTTCCATTTTTCAAACTCTTGCGCAAAGAGGCAACCTTCGAATGGACCGTGAAAGGCAGACAAGCCAATCTACATCCTCGGGTTTAAGAAGATTGAATAGGGGCAGATATTGTACCCCAAAATTTGTCCTCCCATATTTGGCAATACATTTCAAGTGAGGTCTTCAAATTGCTCAAGGAAGTCCAACGGTTGACCAGACAAACTCTCTCTTAAGGCAGTCTACCTCAAATTAGGGTTTCAGTTTGCATCAAGATGCTTGAGTCCAAAGGATCCCAAATGCTCACCATTGTACTAATATGTTCTCAAGATCATCCATGTCAAATTTCAAGCCTTGCAGAGGAAGTTTGCTCAATCAATTGCTCAAAGGCCTGAAAATCGACTGTGCTAGGACAAAAGTCAACTGTGGCCCACATATAGTCAAACTTCAAGATTTTTGGTCAACATCCTCATTTTGAAGTATTATTCATCATTTGATCAAGGTTTGATCATGATTCCTCAAGGATTGCTCACAATTCATCAAAGCCCAAAAATTGCTAAATTGGGGTTTTGTAGGAAAAGTCAACTCAACTTTGACCAAGCATAACTTTCTCATACTTTATCAAAAATGACCCATCTAAAGTTGATTTTGAAGAGGATGCAATTCCCTACAATTTATCTTCAGCTCCCAAGTTCAAAATATGCACTCACAAGAAGATATGAATTTGGACATTATAGATCATTTTGAAAAGTCAACAAAAACACCTTTTGGGTCAAAGCTTCATACATGAACATGGAAGACTCAATTGAGATGAGACCAAAAGGGTTGCTTAAAGGACATCTTAAGCTTTCTAAAAATTCCAAGAACACCTCTCTAGGGTCAAAATTGAGAGAGAGTTATGCATTGGCCAAGTTGACCCTTTTTGCAAAATTGCCAAAAGTCAAATGTGTCCAAAATTGCATTTTTTGCCAAATGGGCCCAACTTTTTATGCTTGCACTGAGTTTGTAATGTGACCC